CCTTATTGTCGCATTAAATAAATAGGTTATTCTAGTCAAGAATTTGCTCCATCTGCAGCAAATTTAGCAAAGTGTTGAGTCTGCATCTTAGTCTGTAAAATGAATCCAACATTATTCATACAATTTAGATTAAGATTGCAACTCTGTGTCAAATAAAATCTCTGAATTCAACAAATAGTTGAGAACCTGACTGGGGAAACTTTGTTAGTTGCGATACAGGTGCCATAGAAATGGCATGTCATGTTCCTTAACAAGTCTTAGGCTGATCCATTTTTCTTGCTTTCTTTTTTTGAAAGGGAAAGCAGTGAGATGACAAGAAAACAGACAAGACAGTCCATGGAGACAGTTAAAGCATTATTTCTTGATAAAACAATAGAGTGCAAAGAGGAACGAGACAGGTATAACTGCATGGCCACAAGGGATCTTTTCGTCTTTCAAGGGATTGTGTCATGGCAGTTCAGGCCTTCTTGTTAGGAGTGAAACTTCTTGTTGATTATTACTTTTTAAGTAATAACTAACCGAGTCAAATTTAGAGGGATTTGTATGGAGTCATCGGAGCATAACTGGGCTAATATCTCAGAGACAATTTGCCCCGAAATGCTAGTTTTTGGCAAGTAGGCCTCTTGAATGTTGTTCTTCCAGAATATCCTGACAAATCCCATAATGTCACAAATTTATTTTTTTATGATGTCACACTTTTGAACCCTATTGCTTCACTATTTTAACAGATTATATCTTCGATTTCACTGTCCCACAATTAGCATATAGCCACCAGTAAATTGAGTCACTCAATTTAGTGGTGGCTATTTGCTAAATGTAGCACAGGATTAGGCTAAATTACTGTGAGACACAGTTCTTTTAATCTCAACATGCTGCTATTAGGTTATATAAAGCAGAGAAGAGCATGTAGGATGGTGAAGGGCACAGTTTTAAGTGGCCATTTATCTCTTGACACTTTTTTTAAATTTTGTATTTGCAGAAGGCACAGAGAACTTGATAGCCAGAATATGAAACAATTTGTTGACGAGAGGCAGAAGGTGAGATTGTCTTTTAAAAAGGTTTTAAAAATCTATAAGGTTTTCCATTGAATTTTTGAGTCAATAGTCAGCTTATATAATCGCATATTCTTATAAGTTTCTAAATACACTGTCGTGCTAATTTGATTTTAATAGAGCTCACAGTTATGTCTTTTTGTGTTTAGTTGAGTCATAGGCAGGAGAGAGAAATTGAAGAACTTAAGAATCAACATAAGGAGGAACAGAAAAATTTGGAAGTGGAATTCCAAAAGGTGCCAAGCTAATTATCAGTATTTCTTTTACTTGGCTGTATTTTTTTGCAAGGATTTCATCTGATGTGCTTCCAACTGTGTGAAACCCCTCTTACACTTATGGGCAGCCGTTGCCTGTGATCTCAATGAGATGCCCTTCCACATAAGTTTTCTTTAAAGATTCAGTGGTTGCAGAAGTGTTTTCTTTCATTCCAGACACCGTCTTGTTCTAAAGCCTATTCCCTCTGCACCATCGCAGTTAAAATTTTTTTAGTTCTTACAGAATCTCTAGTGTAGTCATGATCTAAATGGCCATAATTTGGATTAGGTCTTTATTAACCCTTCCCCTCATTTTTAAAATTGGAGAGGAATATCTGTACTGTGCTCATAGCAATGGGCAGAATTAGCCTTGTTAACCTGTTTAAGTCTGTCATAGTTGGTGGTAATTTGACTGATTAAACAACCCAGTTTAATGTTGACCTTAATATTGATAAAACCATTCTGAAGTAGATCAATGTACTTTACTACCTACACATTTTAAAGTTTCTTTTCTTTTGTTGTTTTAAGCTCGTGACAGAAAATCTGGATAAAATCAAGACTAATGGTGAAAAGTGTCGAAAAGCTATTCACACTGCATTTCAGACTGTGCTTCCAACCCACTAACAGACACTCATTCATCTGGGTCATAAAAAGTGTTTACATGTTAAATATTATGTAAGATATTCATAATATTATAGAAAACCAACTGTCTGACTGTATGTGACAGTCATTTGAGCTTCTGATAAAACCACCATACTTTAAAAAAAGAAGATGTGGCTAGTAATTTTCAAAGATATTTATAAAATGGAAAATATATATTGATTATTTTATTGGTTTAAAACTATCAAGATTTATAAAGTTAATCAGTTGAAAGTGACAAGAGTTAATATTAAATCATAGACAGCTATAACATTGTTCTTAGTACTGCTTAGTGTACATGGTTTTCTTCTTACGACATGATGTTATTGCATGTTACTTGACCTATGTCATATATTCAGCTATCACTGCGAACTTAGAACTTAGTTGAAGACAATGACTTCCACAAGTTTTTTATGTCTGATGAAAGTCTCTCTCCTCAAAATTTTTAGGCTATGCTCTAAACTTTGTACATGTAACTGGAAACCATGTGTGTAACATTATAAGTAAAAAACAATAGTAGTTAAAACTCATAGGATGGAGAAAAAGTGTATAATAGTATTGATATTGATATTACCAAATGGAAATGTTTTACAATTTAAGCAAGAAGCAAACTGTGAAATACTAAAACTATTTTTTTGTGGTGTTCCCATGGGGTATTAGGGTGTAAATAATTTATGACATATGGGTAGATTTTCTTTTTCTTTTTTATGCCCCTTGTAGTTGAAGAGCTGGGGAAGTAACATCTTAAAGTACACTTTTCTTTTGTAAACAGTGTTGAGTACAGATGACACCTCCCATAAGTGGACACCTAGAGTTGGTTACAAATGTCACATTTCACATTTGCTGAATCAAATAGTAGCATTAAATTTGGCACATATGAAGTGCTGCATTTGATCCAGGCTTTAAGGTGATGTTACACGAGATGATCGACAATGACGATTTTTAGTGCAACACAGGGTTGAACATTGTTTTGACATTGTTTCGAATGGTTACAACATTGTTCCAACATTGCAACGCTGTGTTGCGCTAAAAATCATTGTTGCGAATTGTCCTTTGTAACATCACCTTTAGAGAGATAGTACTGTGTCCAGGGCTTTAATTTTATTTGCGTCATGTGCCACACTCCACTGTTTGTTACATACTAGCCACCTGCATTTGAAAGGGAAGATGAAGGGAACTTAGGCATGAGACTATGCGTGA